ATTGCACGTTGCTTACACCTAGTTGCTAATAATACATGAATATTCATTGAAGCCGTTACAAGAATATCAAACAAGTTTTTAATACTATCAGGAGGTATATATATTCTAATACTTCAAAGAACTTGCCAAATATGTTTATTTTATTACAATCTAAAACCAAAGTTCTTTGCAAATTATTTTTACCTTGTTGATTTTGTCTTTTCAAATATGTCCGGAATTTTTGCTTCTTATCAAGGCCGAAGATATCATTTACATGATTAGAGTGGATAAGGAAGACCGCATGGAAAGAAAGAGATGTCAACTATAAATACTCATCGTGTTGGAACATTATTGAACGTCTCATTGGAGTGTTAAAGACAATATTTCTCATTTTAAAATTAATTACCAATTATTTATTTAGTAGGCAATGACAAATCCATATTGCATGTTACCTAATACATAACTTCATTCTCTAGAAGTGCGCTTTGGATGGTCTTTTCACTAAATATTCATTAGATAATATATTATTACAAGACGTGTCAGAAATCAGAATCAAGTGAAGATCAAATACAATTTGACATCTCAAATGGGATAAGTCTATATCACACTACTATATAACTGTGGAATGACTACTCAACTACTCATATATGATTTCGTAGATTTATTTTATTGTTTTAATTTTATCAACTTTGTTTATTTCTCCTACAATTATTTAAGCATGTAAGCTTAGTTCACTTACTATTGAATTGTTTGCTGTAATCTTATTATTCACAATCACATTTCATAATTCTCAATTCAAGAAATTAATTTTTATTTTTATTTTCTAGTTTTTGCCAAGTCAATTTATTATTGATTTTTATCCGTAGCAAAAAAATTTCTTGCAAGTTTCCACTTTAAAATGTATATACTACTTGATAATATACTAGCATAAAATTATTCTATTCTACTAAATAATCGAATTCATAGAATAAAATATTATATAATTATTTTTAAAATTTTCAAACTAAACGTCTTTTCTAGTTTTCTATTTTGAGTAACATTTTTTATAATGACAAATCAAACGCGTTTTCTACAATCACAGAACAGATCTCAAAATATAAAATTGATATACCAAGTTTAATCGCGATTGATTAAATTAATTCATTTTCTATAATATATTTATTAATATTCCTAAAATAAATTGAAAACCAAGTGCTTGTTCGACAATTATTATTTGAGAAAAGTAATGTTTTTAATAGTGGTTTTTAGGAGAATGTGTGGTTAAAAAGTAATAATTTTTTTTGTATTTACTTGTATGATATTTTATCGTGTGAATATGTGGTTGAAAATAAATATATAGAAAAAAAAAATTTTAAATAATAATTGTCAAACATGGGCCAAATTGCTCCAAGTCCGATGCATGAAGGGTAATTTAAACCTATTTGAATATCATTATATTATATGGACGACACAAATGAATAATCCATATTCATTTTAGTAATTGTACATCGACACAACAGTAAAATTTTTTTTTTTTACGGAACGTCAAAACGATGATTCTAAAACATACAATAATTTTGAAATATAAAATTACAAAACACTTAATTGATTATCTACCACTCATTTAACCTTGTCTATAAATACATTTGTTAATAAACACAAGACACTCCCTCAGATTATGCTTTTAGCTTTTCCAAATTTTTATCATTAAAATACCAATTTTAACATTAATTAAGTAAAGTAAATCCTTTTATTCCATAAGTTTTTTAGTATTCCAATAATAAAGTAATTTATTTGAATATTTTACATTATATAAATATGTTTTTATTTTATAAACTTTGAAATTTAGTATATATTAATTTTTTTTTATTATAGTGAATACATTGTCTTAAACAAATATTTAATAGTATTACATTTTCTTATAAAAGTAAAATAAGTTTAATGATACTACAAATATGATATAAACAATATCCATTTTTATAATCCTATACAAGGACAACAAGACACGGCTTTTGTTTACCAAACAATCAAATGCTGATTTTTAAACATACGACGATGTCAAACAGAAGTTTACCAAATACTTATCCAGTTCTTCTCGCAACTAGTGGTGTCAAAGCGGGTAGGCCCACGAATCGGCCCATAATTTAAGTGGGCTAGTTCATGGGCCTATATATGCAAATATCGGTTCGAGCCGATTTTACTGATTGGGTCCAACGGTTAACCGTCCAACCCATTGATATTTAAAAAATTAAAATTAAAATAATTTTTATATTAAAAAAGGAAATTCACAACTTCAAGATAAGATTGTGACAAGCCTTATTTAAGGCTATTTCGAACCGATCCGCCCATTTTCACTCTGTACTTGCAATTGATTCATTTTACAGCATAACTACTCCCACTTTATCCCCGAATCCCTTCTTTTAATGGATCTTTTCTTGTGTTTAGGTTAGCTCTTTAGAGGACTAGTGATTGATGCCACCACCTTCTCGAGGTGGTCAATTTGGATAGTCAACTTGACCATGAGCTACGATTCTTCGGAAAATGAG